TCCAACGTGTCTAGCAGTATATAATACCATGTATTATTACTACTGTCACATCTTCCTGTGATGCAAAAATTGTGGTGAAAAATTTAGATTTGTTTGTAGTCCCCTAGAAGGGACATATGACCTTCAGCTTTGAAAGTTTAGCTCTTAATGAATTAGAGGCTTAAATTTGCTTCTCTGGTTTTAGATTTCATTGAAAATATTTTTGCTGTAATCTCTGATTATAAAAAATATATCAGGTGACATTTTGGCATATATAATAGCAATTTTTTGTTCTTATAAGGTAATGTAAATCAGGAGGGGTTCCTTTGTCAGTGCAGTAAATCAGGGTGGAAGAACTGACTTTTTATGGGAAATGTTAGTTGCATTTAGAAAGCCTGATACTAGAAATATTTGTGTTATGTTACTTGTGGTTTATTTTAGCTGTGCAACAGGAGGAAAGGTTGTAAGTATTTCTGGTCTAAAGTCTGATGTCTCAAGTTTCTGTCTTCTTCAAGATGGATCCAAAAAATCCCATATAAGACTGGTACAGTCAGGAGAGCAGGGGGATAGAGAATTGCTTGTAAGATCAACTGAACTCTCAGGTGATGTGCAGGATCACTTCAGATCAGATGGAACTATCATTTTTCCCCAGCATCAGGGAGAGTCATTTCTAAGACTCCTTTGCTGAATAAGATACTGACACAGCTGATTCTGTGCAAGAGAAACAGCTGGCATTTATAAGCACAGGATTTTGAAGAGCTCCCCATCTAAGGAAAGTTTTGGTTCTCCAGTGTTGGTGTTCGCCTTTGCTTTTATGGGATAAAGGATACCAGAAATTAACTGGAAAGTATTGATAATTGCACTGAAATTTCTGTGAAGATCTAATGTGAACACATTCTTCTGATTTCTAGATTCCCTTTATGGGAGATTTGTATAGACTTTAAAATATTTTAAATATTTTCTCCTTTAGAAGAAGAATCCAATTTCTTCAGTTCTTTCTTTCTTTCTTTTTTTTTTTTTTTTCTTACTTCTGAGGAAATATTCAAGGAAAAGGAAATGCTGTTTGATGCTGTTTTCATTTTATAGTGGCAGTAGGCTTCTCTTGTTCATCATGGGCAACTATTTTGGTAGTGGTGTAGAAATACTTTGGACCAGGTTAGTAATGATGTTCATTACTAATTTCTTCATTATACTTTGTGATTAACTCTCCACAGGTTTGCTGAGGGAAGAGAAAGCCTAAAACAATAACAAGCAAGGATCTTTACTTAGATCTGATTGGCCACAGGAGGAAGAGCAGGACATAGCCAAAAAGCTTGGAATACCATAACTCAGCTGTGAAGCTGAATGATTCCCAAACACATTAGTAAATGACAATTGCCTTTGTAATTTTAAAATCTTAAAATTTCTGTTTGATCATTAGATATTGCTAAATATATGACAGATGAATTAAAACATAATTTACAGATTAATAAAAATGTAAAACTTTAACTTATCTAATTAAAATATAAGTATGTATAGAGAAATATTTGCAGATGCAAGCCATGCACATCATCAGTCTGAAACAAAAGTTGTTTAGATTAGTCCAATTACTAAAATTTAATGCAATCTTTTTGGAGCCAGACTGCACCTGGTCGTTCAGAAATGAAGAAAATTGTGCTTGGGTCTTCGGGAAAGAAATGATTCACCTGTAGTTGGATCCAGTGCAACTAAAGGGCTTGTTCTCTTCTGAGCACAGGAAAACGCTCTTACTCAGCAGTGGGTGTTAGGTTATCTGTTGTGGAGGAGAACGGAAATGAGACAATTAGCAACTTTCAGAACTGCCCAAGTCAGTAGACTTGGCAAGAAGAGGAAATGTTTCTTCCTTTCCTAGTGACCTGGGAGGTCCTGGGATCACTGTGCAACACTGTGTCACCATGTCTGTGGGAGTTTGAAGGGCATCGAGGGGGTGGATGAAAACCCAGTTTTTTTAATGTCACAAATGAACTTGCAGTTCTGTAAGATCTAACACAGGAGGTATCTCTGGCACATAGCACTGCCTTGGAATATATTTGGAGAAACCTTCTGGCCATTCATATCTGAAGAACTCCCATTACAGTAAGAAAACGGAGAAGAATTTTTTCCGAATTTCTCTATATTAGATATTTACACCTCCTACTGTGAGAGAGAATTTCATCAAATGTAGGTCTTTGAGCCCTTTGTGGCACTTTTGTTTGTCAGAGACAATTCTGCTACATCTGACATCTTCCTTAGGAGAGTACAGTATTTATTAAACAAAGACTGACTGAGCTGGCTAGCAGTAAAAGGAGTGCAAATGGATATCATAAGGCCTTTCTACTATTGGAATCAAGCAAAATGATCTAGTATAACCAATTCAGGCTTACAGATTTGTATATTTTGTCAGATACCAGCTATCACAAAATAAGAATGCTATACTGTAGACAGATTGCTTTACTGGATAAATCAGATAACTTTCCTTGCAGGCTCAGAACCTTTCAAAATATTCCACCTTTCAATTGTAAAATCACAGGCTTCTAGAAACAAATTGCTAAATACGTTTCCTAGTAGGTGGTCATAGTAGGGTCTGTATTTTCCCTCTGTGCACGAGTCACTGTAGAGCAGCATCTTCCCTGTTCTCCAGGCTGGTAGGTGACAATGGGCTGATCCAGTGGGGAACTCAAATCATATTCAAATATAGCAACATCCTGATGCTATTATGATGATTACCACTTTGCAATTGGTATGTCTGAACTCAGCACAGGAACATCACATTCCTAATGAGATATAGCAATAATTTTCCTGTCACTAAATGATCTCTTCCCCCCTAAGTGACAGTGTCTTACCATTACAAACATGTCCCCCTTGACTAAAGCACTAATGAATACAGGTCTAGTGTTATCATATTAGATATTCAAGCCAGTTGATAAAGTGAAGAACTTGATCTGGGTCAAAACTATTCATATAGTGCACGAATCCTGGAGGCAGCTAAAGCAGAGAGGGTATCTTTTCTCTTTTTTGCCTGGCACACAAGAACCTTGAACTACTCAGGAAATAACTGGAGCAAATAAAGAGATTTTTCCAAGGAGACTAGAAGAGTTAGGCGTTGCAGTCTAAGTTTTTGTAAGCAATTCCTTTTAGAATCTCTGAGCCATTGTTCCTGTAGGGCTCAGTTTTGTACTCCCTTTTTAGACTTTAAACCCACAAATTTATATGGGATTAATTTTAAGCATGTAGTCCTGTGGACTTGAGTAGGGCTACTTCAGCCTGAAGTTTGGCATATGTGTAGGCATGGTCAGAAACAGAACTGTAGGAGAGATTCCCATTTATTTTGATGGAAGTTTTGCCTAAATTCAGGTTGAGCCCATATGTTACAAAAGTCATTCTTGGACGCTCCAGTTGGACTGTTGTAGCTAGGAGAAGTTAATTCAGTGATTTTCTTACAGAAAATGTATTCCATTTTTACTGAAATACGCAGAGAATCTTTAAAATGCTAAAACAAGGCTATGTTCCACGGTGGTCTGTTATGAATATTGAGTAAAACTGTACAAAAAAGCACACAGAAGGTACATAATATAAAGCAGATGCAAAATATTTCTTTAGTAATATTACTTGAGTATTTTCTGTTATATGACCATATTTGTATTTGCTTTGTAAGCAAACCATTTTCTTTTGAAAGAAAATCACAACTCATACTTGACATAATTTCTGGTACAGCAGAATGAACATGCATTTAAATGCTACATGGAAATAATTTCTTTACATCACCCCAACAGATGGACTTAAGATAGTTGAAGAAGGTGAGGAAAAAAATTAAATGCAAAACTGCATCAGTGATCCAAAAGTTTACTGTATTTCCTTACAGGAACTGATTCTGATACTAGAGGCGTGTTGGTTCAATCCACAGACTAGTAACTAGCCTGTTAAAATGAACCATCTCTGAAGTATGTACCATTTATGCATAAGCATAAATGTCAGAGTTAATTAGCAAAATAGGTGCAGCAACAATTTTACATCTGTGATAGCTGAAATAATTTAATATTTTAATGATGTAATGATGTATACTAAAGCTCCCGAGAGTTTGAAAGTGCCTATTGAAATAACTATTGACAAGTTCTTTTATGTACTCAGTGCACTACCCACTCAGCAGTACGCTGTCATTTTAGAGTAATTGCCCAGCAAACTTTTAAAATGCTGTCACAAAAAAAATTGCTTAAACAGAGGTAGCTCTTTAATTTGTCTGCCACTTCTTCTGTCACTCCTCCTGCACTTTATGTTGAGTGCAAGGTTTAGCTGTCACCTTTGAAGTTCTTCCACATATTTTTACAGACTGGGTTGAGGCCATGTTGCCAATTTGTCCTACAATGTTAAGGAAAGTTTTAAATAAAATAATTTTTTTCACACTCCTTTTACTTGTACACTTTAATATAGAAGATTGGAAATTATTCCTCCTATAGTCAGAGGAAACTATTTTGGATCTGTAAAACAGAATGAGTTTTACTAGAGACGATAATTTGTCCAAATCCAGTGGTTTCATAGGAATATGTGTGTGTGTATATATATATATGTTTTTATATATATATATAAAATACAGCTGCTTAAGAACGGTCAGTAGTTGTCCTATACAGGACAGGTTGTCCTGTCCAGGTACAGGTTCATAGCATGACAATTTTTTTGTGTATGGAAAATAAAAAGGCTTCAGTGGGAAGTTTGAGAACAACTTACCTCAGACTTCAGTGGCCAGGATGCTCCACTGGGAAGTGAGAGAACGCTAGAGAAAGAACTAGGATGTGCCTCTGTATGCTGTATTTTTGTAGTGCCCACTGATTTATTGAGATATGAAACAGTAAATAATCTGAAAGTTTTGAATTTTCATGAGATGGGAAAACTTTCCTTCACAGTTCTAGATCCAGGAAGTTTCTTATGCATTAGCTACTGTTGTGTGATGCTGGAGGCAAGAAGGCAAAAATATAATTCAATTTTTTGTACCTCTTCTAAAAGACTTTATTTTCTGCTTGCTTTCTTAGGGAAGACCTTCCAAGCATTAAAATTCCATGTTATCATTGTCCCAAGGTAGAGTGGAGGTATAAAGCAGCCGTGTCCGTCAGCAACTTCCATGCCAGGAAACGGGGAAGAGTTGCTTTAAGGCCACAAGATCGTTATGCATCATCATCAGACTTCCATGTGGTTAGTATTGATCTTTTTTTGATATTCTGAGATCATGAGCAAGAAGTAGGAGGAATTGTCTGGGCCTGTTATCCTTCTTACAAAAGAAACTTAACTATGGCATGTATTGCAGGCTTTACATTTGAAATTGAGTGTAAAATTCTGAATTACAGCAACTTGATCAGCTAAATGCTCTTACTGCTAGAAAATGGTTTCTGCTGTCTGAATCCCATCAAAATTGGGAAATATATTAGGAGGAAACAGCTGAAGTTTATAATCACAATGGATCACTTTCGGTTTTCTCATTCCTTATACAGAATTTTCATATTTAGCTTTCATACTTTTGGAGGGTAAAATGGGAAAGAAAAAATTTCTGTTTATATGATTACTTTTCCATTTCAATGAAAGAAAAATTGCATATTGATTTTCAACTTCATTTACTTCTCTTAAGTAAATAGTTATAAGAGTAAAAATATGAAGAACCAAGTATGATATATATATTTAAATGATGGAAGAAAACCTTCTAGTAACATACAGAGTTACTAACAATTTACACATTTGACTGTAGGGGGAGTGAATATTCATAATAGGAGGAATTTCACAGTATGAGATGACAGTAGTTACTGACAATCTGTAGATATCAAAGAATGAGCGCTGGCACATTAATAAGGAACTTAAAAGCAGATCCACAGTCTAACATCTTAGTAACTATAAAACTACAACTTCTACATGAGTCATATGTTTGAACTCCAAACTATCTTATAAAATTTAGCTAGAACACATTTTTCTTGACACAAATGAGTATATTAATTTCCATAAGATATTATCTCTTACCATATATTTAATTCAGATTCTCTTTCTACTCCCACTGAAATAATTGCTTACAATATACTGACTTGATTTTATATGGCTAATTAGAGCAGTGCATGGAAAAAAATAGGTTTGCAGGTAATACTGAAATTAAATATGTTAATCTGTAGCTCAGTGCACACATTTTGTATGAGCTTTAATTTGCTATATAAATTATAGTTCTGCGTTTATAAAATGCCCTTGAAAGAATGTCCTATTTTTTTGAATACTAATACCACAGGGAAACAAATATACAAAGCTTTTAGCTATAGGCTATATTTGCATAAATTAAGACAAGTAGTCAGTCTGAATATCCAACTGCAGATATACTTCTAAAAGGTATTCTACATAGAGTTGCTAGGACTTTGCGTGCTTAAGATTTACGTTTTTTTAAACAATGTAGCAGCTTTCATGATAGGCAAGTGAATTTTGAACAATGAGGCATAAATAGTGTAATAAATAGGCTGTGGTTTATCAGCTAGAGCACGGAACAAATGATTCAAAAGGCTCTGAACTCATTTCTGTATGAGCTAGTAGCAAATATCTCCAGTACCAGTCTGGTTTACATGTTTATTCTGGAAAAAGCTGGTATGGCTCTCTCAGTGTAGCTGCCCAGTGCAGTGCATGTATTTTGTGACGTGACTGCGGTGACACGTGCGATTCCCACATAGATTCGGGTAACCTCAGCTAAAAGACTGATCCTCGTTGTTTAGAAAACTCTCCTTCCATGTGAATTCAGTTAATATTCACCGATGATAGGGAGAAGGCAATTACAAAATCTATAATGCAGAGTATGTCCAAAATTCTACCTAAAGTTTATTATTAAGAAGGGCAAAGGGATATGCATGACCAATACACTTATGCTTTTTTCATAGGCAGAGTGATCAAAACCTTCTCTCCTGTTTAGGCAATGGCAGTAAATCCAGTATAGGGATCAAATCCTTAAATGTGTGCAAGAATCAAAATCCTTTCCATTTCTGGCCCAAGAACAGTATCTCTACTGGAGGTACATAGCCATGTGTTGTGGAAAGCATAGGAAACATCCCTGAAAATGGTTTTTTTGAAACAGTATCTTAATTAATTTTTGTTTCACATGACTCTGTATTAGTAATCAAGATCTTGTATGCTCTTGACAGAACAAAGTATCACTGGTCAGTTTTTGATGAATCTATGGCTTAGATTTTCAATAGTGTTAAGAGTATTATCACTTGGGCTATATGTTATTACTTCCTTTACCATCTTGAGAGGCAGCAGTATGCTCTGAGTCTTCCCACTAGCTTCACAGTAGAAGAACAGAAAACTCAGAGTTAATTTAACCTTCAGACTGTCAAAGTAAAATAAACAGTATTTTAAATGAAAATAACTAGTCGGGGAATAGTTCACAGTGAAGAACTTCATTTTTTATTCATTCTCTTCATACAAGGTGAAGATCATACAAGTGAATGTCTAATATTGTTCCTCTGAGGGAGTGTCATTGAAAGTATCACCTAGAATTAATGGTTTGATGATGCTGAACAAACCAGAGAAAATTGTCCCAGGATGTTTTTTAGTGACACTACTATTTTTGGGTGAAGATTTCCCCCTCTGGATTTTATTCATTTTATATAATGCTGTTTGTGTGATTAAACTCTGAATTTAACTTTTTGGCAAAATAACCCTTCAGCATCAGCTTTCCAATGAGATTATTTTGATTGTCCATTGCTACTTGCTGTTATATGGAATTTAGTATAGCGTGACAATAAATCTCCTCATTTACTAGAAGAAAAAAGCACGTTGCATAAACAAATGTCACCAACAGTGAGTAAATACATGATAGTATGAGCCAAAGCCCTAGTTATGAGAATTGGCAGAAGAAGTACAATCTCTAGTGATACTTCTATCAATCTTTAAGCTGTGGTCAGAAGTTTATGTGACACCTTTTTATGTCTTTTCCTAGTAACAGCTACTAGACTAGCAATTAAAAAGAAAAAGGAACACTTAAAATATGAAAATTGCCACAAAACTCAACTTAGACAATGTAATGGTGTAAGGTTTGAGGAGAAATCTCCCACAGGAAGAAATCTATCCCGAAAATGTGATAGAAGTCCTGTTAGTCAGTCAATTTTTAATTTTTCTTTTTTTGAAATATGGCAGAACACAAAGGTGAAGTTTACAGTCTTTAGGGCCAGTTAGCATGGAAGACTATCATGTACAATTTCAAGATGCAATGAAAAAAAACAGCTGGAGTGGTCAAAGAAATTCTTTTTCTTAACAAACACATTGACAAGTCAACTAGGACTATAACAGAGGGAAACATGGCAGCTGAATAAGGAGGGTATGAAAAGGTTTCAGCACAACTTCCCAGATTGATTTAGGCTAAGAAGACATTGGCTGGGTTTACTGAGAGGCTCTGCAGATAAAACCCACAAACTCCACTTAGGAATGGTAGAAATCAGGGGTGAAGGAAGAATAAGCCTTAAATCTTTCCTCCCATTGCAATGAGGGCTCATACAGTCTGTACTGAGAGCAATGTAATTTGCTTCTGCCTGAAAACTGTCAACTAAGATCAAGTGAAACTTCAAATGGAACAATTTCCTGCAAGAGTTGCTAATTTCTGTCAGGCTTTTTGGAACACTGGGGGACAAAACAGGGATATTCTGCAGATCTGTGTTTTGGGATGCTCTCTGGGTGGTGTCTATGTACTGGAATGTTTGGTGGAACAGAATATGGAATACATAAGCATTCTAGGAATGGGAAAGTAGACAAGAGGGAGAAAGGAAGGAAAAAAATAGATGTTAATGATAACAGTTCCAGCCTTTTTAAATCACAGGTTTATCCAGATACTGCATAGTCTCAGTATCTCTGAATCAGTCTCTCATTGAGGTAAGAACTTACTAATTAATTTCTAAACAATATTTTGGATGGAAAGGCAAAGAATTAACAATACAGTTGTCCATCTTCAAAGATGGAGAATATGAACTAAAACATGTGGAGAATAGCAAACTAGAATTTTTTTTCTGACTAAGACTGCTGTAGGGTGTTAAAAACAATCACAACACTTGCATCTGATACAGGATCCTTTAATTCATTAGTCAGCAAAGGTCAGGTCTTAAGTCAATGCACCAGAGTCATTGGACTGGACTGGACTGGACTAAATCTAATTATTCCCAGTTCCTACTGTCAGACAAAGATGTTTTGATAATGACTTCTAACAGAGTAACAATGATAGTGCTCAAAAAGAGGAGGAGATAAAAGATGATTCTTCAAAATAAAACCAGTTTTATATCAACATATATATCTGAGAACTCCAAGTACTATTCTTAAATCAATCAAACATCTGCTTTTTGATTTTTAAAATCTGTGACTATTATCCCACTGAACTTCTCCATTTGCTCTGATTGTAAGGGGTATTGTTGAAGCCTGTTGACATAGTTTTCAAACTTTTCACATTGGAAGGAAGGTCACTGCATTTAACCCCTGCTACACTCTTGTTTCACACACACTGACACTCACTCACTTCTACTATTGGACAGATTTTACACAAAATAATAAATGGTGATATTGAGGCTACGGAAGTTATTCTGAATTTGTCACACACTGCATCCCACCTTTGGGCCTTGGCTGAAAGAGAGGTCTGTCTGGCAGTGGGAAAAGGCAGAATGGAGAGAATCTTACCTTTAATTCATTAATTCATTTGACCCTTTTTTTATACGAATTGGCCTTTTCTTCAAAAGCTCACACTCTGCTCTTCCAGATTTAAGGTTCACATGTAATGAGGTTTTTTGGTATCACTTGTTTTTGGAAAGTACAATAAACCCCTAAATTTTAGGGTTCTAAAAAAATTGGGAAATCTATCGGTTAAGACAACTGGAAATATTTTTTAAAAAACACAATGAAACAAACCCCATACTAATTATGTTAAGTACTGTCAATATGATGAGATACATGCAGATTCTTCAGCTATGGCTGTGGTACAGAAATTCTGGAGTGTGTGATGTTTGAATATTCAACGTGATTTATCTGCTAGAAAATGTGTATTTTTAATATCAAATTTTTTTATATAATCATAAGAAAATTTTACAAGCCATCAAACAATTTTTTCTTGCATTGTTTAAATTAAAATTGAACTAAACTTTTCTCAAAAACTGATCTAAAAAAGTAATTACATTTCTATTTGAGTCTTTTTTATGCCA